AAAGGCAGAACTGTCCAATCCTTTAGTAAGGATATCTCCAAGTTGATCCTTTGATGGTACATGATCAACACTTACTAGACCACTGTCTAGTTTTTCTTTAATAAAATGTCTGTCCACTTCTATATGCTTGGTTCTGTCATGCTGGATTGGATTGTGGGTTATGCTGATTGCTGATTTGTTGTCACAATGTAGTTTCATGGGCTCATCCCACTTAACCTTTAAATCATCTAGGATTATTTTGATCCATAGTAGCTCACATATTCCCAAGGCCATAGCTCGATATTCTGCTTATGCACTGGATCTTGCCACCACATTCTGTTTCTTGCTTCTCCATGTATCTAGGTTACCTCCAAGAAATGTGCAATACCCAGAAGTAGATCTTCTATCAACCGGTGATCTTGGGTAGTTAGTATCCGTGTATACTTCTAGGGTTATTCTACGATCTCTCTTAAAGAGAATTCCTTTTCCAGGTCTTCCTTTAAGGTAGTGCAAGATCCTGTCTACCGCTTGCATGTGAATCTGCTTTGGATTCTGCATAAACTGATTGACCATGCTTACAACAAATGTTTTGTCTGGTTTGGTGTGGGAGAGGTTGATTAATTTCCCTACAAGTCTCTGGTAGGCTCCTTTATCTACATCTGGATCTTCTTTAGCTTCTCGCAGTTTAAGATTAGGTTCTACTGGTGTTGGTGCTGGTTTACAGGCTAGTTTACCTGTTTCTTTTAGAAGATCTTTGATGTATTTATGTTGTGAAATGAAGATTCCTTTACTGGAGTGAGCTACTTCAATTCCGATGAAATATTTTAGTCTACCAAATTCTTTGATGTCAAATTCTTTAGTAAGACTTTTTCTTAAGCTGGCTTTCTCCTCTTCATTATTTCCAGTCAAAATAATATCATCAACATACACTAATAATATTGTGACTCCCCCTGAGTCTGAGTGTTTGAAGAATAGTGTATGATTCCCTTGACTCTGTCGATACCCATTCAGGAGCATGAATTTAGATAATCTTCCGAACCAGGCCTTTGGTGATTGTTTGAGCCCATATAGAGCTTTTTTTAGTTTGCACACCTTGTTACCTTCAAATTTTTCTTTAAGCCCTGGTGGTATTTTCATAAATATCTCTTCTTCTAAGTCCCAATGCAAGAATTCATTTTTCACATCCAGTTGTTCCAGGTGCCAATCGTACTTGGCTGCCAGTGAGAGAAGTATTCGGACAGTATTCATCTTTGCTACAGGCGCAAACGTTTCTTGGTAGTCAATGCCATACGTTTGAGTAAACCCTATTGCCACCAGTCTTGTCTTATATCTCTCTAATGTGCCATCAACATTGTATTTTACTGAGAACACCCATTTGCAGCCGACCGATTTTTTTCCTATCGGTAGATTGACGATCTCCCAAGTTTTGTTTTTCTCCAGGGCCTACATTTCATCCTTCATGGCATTTTTCCAATTTTTATCAGATAAGGCCTCAGAAACATCTTTAGGAATATGAATGATCAAGTTTCGGATGCCCCGAGCTTCTACTTTTCTCTTTCTCCTCTGACGATCTAGGATCGTTGTTCTTCGACGACAATTAAGGCCGTTGGCTCTGATACCATGTTAAAACGGAGAATTTGAGAGTGAAAAGCTTGAATTTTATTATGCAATCTACTCCCTATTTATAGATCTATACAAGGTGTATTGATAAGGAAACAAATAACTCTTATAATAATGAGAATACAATTATTCCTAAATCAATGGAAGGAATTAATGCTATCCAGGTAGTCTTCCCACGGATTACTGTTCTCAGCCGTTGATATCTTTGGGATCGTAAGGTTGAGATTTAACACTAAGTATATTTATAATCCTTGTCGAAGGCTTTCACTTGCAGATTGTCAGTGGCTTGTAGCTAGTGATGAGCTATATGACATTAGCTGGATAGTGAGGTTCCTGGATCACTGGGGGATAATCAATTTCCTCTCTGCTTCATCAGTTCATCGAGGACTTAGGAGGTCTGGGTCTCTTCTTACGGAGAATGCCAATGGTGAGCTCATTGCGCACACTACACGAATGGGATCCATTGATAGTTTGATTTTGTTTGACAGGCCTAACTGTAGCCTCACACTAGATGATATACCCTTTTTGCAAATTTCTTCATCTTCCATAGAATCAATTTTCAGTGATCTGGATGTTAGGATTCGTGAAAGCATGAAGGAGAAAGATTCAATCTCCTGGACCATCATGCTGGATGCATATGCGAAATATCATGAATTTGATGCGGCCCTTCGTGTGTTTGGGGAAATGCCATATCGCAATATAGCTGTTTGGTATGCATTAATCTCTGACTATGAACAGAATGGTGGACCCAAAGAAGCTCTGATTGCTTTCATTGAACTGGAGGATGCTAATGTCGAGCCTAACCAACTCACACTTGTTGCTGCATTATCAACATGTTCTCAATTGGGTGCAATTGAAACAGATATGTACTCAAAAGTGTGGAGATCTGGAGAATGTGCTCTATGTGTTCAGGTCATTGAAGTTCAGCCAAGAAGTGCTACATCAGGCCAACCTGTGAAAGGACCTAAGCTTATACCTGTTGCTGTAGGACTTCTAGGTTCAAATGGGAGGGACTTGCCTCTCTCCACTGTTTATCATGATGGTTTGCTGCAAACAGTTCCCAACAATGACCAACCTGCCCCTCCAAATCTTAATAAATTTCTAGATGTACTTCATTTTGATTACAAGTTGTTTAAGAGCAGCATTTGGAGGATGAATGAGAAAGAGCAGTTTAGTGCAGCTTCGATTTTTTTTTTTGAGACACAAGATGGCTTAAGTCAAGACCTAATGCATTTGGAGAGATGAACGAGCTTGTGGGAAGGCATTGAAGATGAAAAATCTTTGATTCAGGAGGATTGCTCGTTTTTCCTACACCTTTCTCTCTTCCAATGACGCGTCTTGACGCAGTCGAGCTCTTTTGACGTAAGTGGAGTATGATGTAGGTGTTGCACAGTATCTTGAAAGCAAGCGAATAGCAGAACCAAGAAGATGACAATATGAATAGAAGAGAAAGAGACAAAAACATTAGAGATGAAAGGCTTATCCTATTTTAAGTATATAAAGAGAATGGAGAGTGGCCTCTATACATAAGAACCAATTAACTAATGCCACCTCATTACATAAGCATATATAGCAACTAAAATAATAATACAGGCGTCATTTGTCTTTATGCATTAATACGTCCCTGCAAACTGATGGGTCTTGGATGACTGACAGTTTGAGCCAGAGTTGGTGAAATCGAGGTGTAGATAGAGATTTAGTGAAGATATCAGCCACTTGATCAATTGTGCTTATTGGAAGGAGACGAATGTTGTGGTTTGGTATGTGATCCTGGATAAATTTCTGATCAATTTTGATATGCTTCGTGCGAGCATAAAAGACTGGTTATTGGCCAGTGCAATAGCGAAAGTATTGTCACAATACATGTCCATTGGATAATCTTGCGACACACCGAAATCTGTAAGAAGCCTACGAAGCCAAATAGTGTCCGATGTAAGTGCTGCCAGTGCACGGTACTCATATGCCATAGATGATTTGGAGACCGTGTGTTGCTTTTTAACCGTCTAGGATATAATTGTGTCTCCTAGAAAGGAATAATAACCAGATGTAGACTTTTGAGAAATTGGATCCCCAGCCCAGTCCACATCTGAAAATGATTTAAGCACAAGGTTAGTTTTCGTAATGGATATACCATAATCAAGTGTTCCTTGTAGCGTAGAAGCCTTTTGAAAAGATAGATGTGTTGAGGAAGAGGATTATGCATGTGCTGAGATAATAGGTTGACGTTGTATGCTATGTCCGGATGAGTAAGCATTAAATATTAAAGAGAGCTCGTGAGTCTCCTGTAAAGGTTTGGATTCAAGAGCATGGATTTAGTAGGAAAGATCGAGGGGAGCTTCGTGCAAGTAGGATTGAACCGTGAATTGCAATGCGTCAGATGAGCTTGCTGAAGGATAGAGTACACATACTGCTTTTGAGGAGAAAATAATGTTGATTGTGATGATCAATCTTGATGCTGAAAAATTCATTTGCTTCACCAAAGTGTTTCATAGAGAATTTGCTGTTGAGGTGATCAAGAATCTTTGTGATAGCTTTGATTGTTACCAGTTATGAGTATATCGTCCACATACATAAGTAGAAAGATTTGAACATGTAGCTGTTTGAATATTAGGAGAGATGGGTCTGCGCTACTGTGGGAGAAGCCTAGTGGCACAAAGTATGACGTGAATGTACCACTGTCTTGGAGCTTTTTTTAGGCCATAGATCATTTTGTGAAGAAACACATAATCAGGATGAGAGGAGTCTTCAAATCCTTTCGGTTGGACCATATAGACAGTTTCTGAGAGATTGTCGTGTAGAAAAGTGTTTGCCACGTCAAGCTGGTAAACAAGCCAGTCATTTATGAATGGCTATTGCAAGGAGTATGCGAATTGTAGGTAACTTGGCGGCTGGGTTGAACGTCTCTGTGTAGTCCAAGCCGTATTCTTGGTAATTTCCTTGAGCAAAACCAGCCTTGCCTTACCTTATATTTTGCCATCGAGCCATCTGCATGAAGTTTGGTTCGATAAGTCCATTTACAGCCTAGAACTAATGAATCAGGAGGTGGCAGAACTAGGTTCCATGTTCCTTGCTTCTATAGTGCCAGGAATTCTGTAGCCATTGCTTGACGCCACTCGAAGTGTTTGACAGCTTCGGTGTATGTTAACTAAATGAGGCTTTAGGAATATGCTATATAGTTTGTTAAAATGATTTCTAGAATGTTCTTGCTAGCTTATATAAGCAAGATATTTAAGGAGTGGAGAGATGAATATTATGATATTTTGAAGCTTTGAAGCTTGTATTTGGTTCCCTTATTTGTGTGTTACTTCTTTGCATCCCAATCTTCCACCGATTACCTACATCAACTTCTATCACCCTTCACAAATACCATCATCTGATTAATCTTTTAATATTGATTTCAGGAAATCTCCATGGCAAGTAATCTTCCCCAGAAGGAGATAGGAAAGTACATCAAAATCCTTGGTGAAGCTCTGAAATTGAGCCAGCCTATCAACAGCAATTCAATATCAGTTCACATGCCTAGATTTTGCACTCTACTTCAACTCAACAAATCTGCTCAGGTACTTCTGATCTAACAGATTTTCAAATCAAAATTTTAAATTGAAACTATTTCTACCTCTCAAACTATATACTATCAGGAACTTGCAGCTCATATTGGAGAAGTTGTCATCAATAAGTGCTTCTGTACCCGTAGAAATCCCATCAGCATATCTGCTGCTGCAATATATCTTGCTTGTCAGCTGGAAGACAAGCGCAAAACCCAGGCCGAGATATGCAAAGTAACAGGTCTTACAGAAGTCACTCTTAGAAAAGTCTACAAAGAACTATTAGAGAATTGGGACGATCTTCTTCCCCCTAATTATACTCCTGCTGTGCCTCCTGAGAAGGCTTTTCCAATGACTGCAATCACTTCATGTCGTTCCTCTGCTGCTAAAGCTGATTTGATGGAGATATCTAATCTTCCAATCCACCAGGAGAAAGACAAACACCAAGAAGCCAAGAAACCTGGCAAAGCTACAGATGCCCAGGATATTGACTTTCATCAGGCAAAACCTAAAGATGCAGACCTCAAAAATACCGCACGAAGTAATTCTCGAGCTTCATTCGCGACGAATAGGGACTTGTATCAGGGGGGGTTTTGGCACCGTCAATTCCCTTTCGGTACGAGTTCGATGAGGACGAGTGGAGAGAAGGATCAGAAGGGTGATCAAGTTATGATCACCAATGAGACCAAGTGTTCTCCATCCAACAGTGAATTGAGGGTTGACAAAGAGGCGGCGGCAAGCAGTGCTTCCCGTTCGATGGGGCATGGTTCAAATACATCGACACCGCAAGCCGCCAACTCGACCCGGCAGCTCAGTACACCATCAGAAGTACTCGAGCCACCAGTTTCCAGGTATGGGAAGCAGCAAGTTGGCTCTGATCAGGCATTTGGGCAGCAAGGAGCTGGTAATAAAAGCAGAGCTAGTGATACTGATGCCTCCCATTGCAGGGATAAGAAATAGAGCCTTTATTATTCCAGAAATAGGTATTCTGCACAACCTTCACCTGCATCAATTTTTTTAGCTATAGAAGCATTATTCTCATGTCAAACAGTTATAGCAAACACTTATTAGGAATGAATTGAGAACTTAATGAGAAAAAAAAAATGATTTCAATGCAAGGTGATTACTATAGGGAAGTTATGGTTGGTTCAATCAAACTTCTAAATTTAGTGGTTTGGCAATATAACATGCAATGGTAGTGTCATTTATTTTTTCATTAGTATTCTTTCTATGACGAGTGAACTGAATTGATGTGTCTATATTTCAGAAGTGAAAACCTTGAAAATCAAAGCTAGCGGTTTGCATTTGAGCCATCAAGTTGAGCCTAGGGGTGTCAATTCGGGTCAATGGGTTGGGTTCGAGTCGAACTTGATTTGACCCGGCCATAAATGGGTCAACCCGAATCCGACTCGTTCTTGCAAACGGGGCAGGTTTCTCAACCCATACTTGACCTGTGCGGGTTGCTGGATTGACTCGACCTGACCCGCGAACGAGATATAGAGATTGGGATTCAGGCACGATTCGAGCAAGGGCGAGGCCGCGCGAGCTTGCGACATGCTGGGGCATGCTTGGGAGGCTTCAAGCGTTGTGTGCGACTCTGCGGTTTGACGTGAGACGATGAGACCGGCGACTGAGCCGAGCCCTACTAGGAGTGGGAGACGCGGATGCGACCATGCGAGGGCGAGGCGACCGGTGTGGTTGCGACTATGTGAGGCGGGGCGACCAGTGCAGCTCTGCGGTTCGACCGTTCGATGCGAGGGCTAGGGCAAGGCTGCAACTACGCGAGTTGGCACTTGGCGGCCGGTTCAATCCCAGTCCAATTTCGGGTTATCGGGTTGACCCAGAGCCGACCCATTTTTTAAAAGGGTCGAAATTGAAACTCGAATCCAACCCATTTGTTAAACGGGTTAATCCTAACTCATATTTTTCGGGTCATCTTTGGATCAAGTTGTCAGGTCGTGCCAATAGTAACTCTCTCAATTATGCAAGCGTGGCGCATAAAGCCTCTAATCTTAGCTTGTTCCCTTATTATTACAAAGCTACAGAATTTGGAAACAGTACCTATAATTGAAAAAAAGAGCAATTTTTAGTAATTATGTTATAGAATCACAAGGAATTAAATAATTTTGTAATTATGTTTTAAAATCACAAAGAATTTAAAAATAAAAATTATAGGTGAGCAGAAACAGCAGTGCCGTTCATTTATGAGAACCCTAAACTATAATTATTAAATTACTCAAATATTATATTTTGACCATTTTTAAAAATTTTTGTTTATAGGAAAAAAAATCAGAAAATAAAAATGGAGATGTCCAATAATTATTGACCCATTTGTTCATGGCAACAAATTGGCAAAGCTTTCCTATTTAGGGTTAGTTTGGACGTTTGCCGCATTTTATAAAATTGATTGTGAGGTTGTTGTAGAACTTAGCTTTTTATTTTAAAAATTTCTAAAAAACGGTGAGAAAGTAACAATCAAATATAATTATGATTGTTTTTCTAAAAAATAAAACAGTGAGGAAACTATCATTCTAATTATGAGAGAGAGATGAGGGAGGATAGAGAGCTTAAATAAAAAAGAAAAAAAAAATCAATTTTTAGTAAATGAAATAAAATAATTATATAAAAGTTTTTGTTCATTGAAAATATAATTTTAAAAAATAATTACTAATTTTTTTGGGTAAAACATTATATCTTAAATTGCTATAAAGGAAAATAAAAATTCTATGTTAATATTTATCAAAAGATGTGAGAAGGAGAGAGAGTGTGGAGATAGAGAAAGGAGAGTGAGAGAGGGAGGAGATAGAGAGAGAAAAAAAAGATATGGGATGGGAGGGGAACATTTACTTATTATAATTTGTAATAAGATAAAATATAAATTAAAAAACATCGACATTTATTGAAAAATAACTTATTTGAAAAACAAAAATTTAATTTTTTTAGTAAATAATTATTTCTTAAATTATTTTAATGATAAAAATTAACTAATGATTTTAATTATATCATAACATGACATATGGAAAGAGAAAGAGAGAGAGAGAGAGAGAAATACTTCTCCAACTATGTTTTCAACTTCTCACCATTTTTTTCAATGACAATAATATTCTATTAATGGCACAAATTGTGCAAATTAGGATTTCATTTTGTCATTTTTTCTGTCTCGCAGGATTTATATAAAATTTATAACTACATAATAGTGAAAACATTTTATCATAGCAAACAAAAATTTAATTTGCATTTTTGCAGTAAATGCAAATTAAATTTGTGTTTTTGTCAATCTGAATAAAAGAGAACACAGTGTAAAATGCTTAGGGATCAAGTGACCAAAAACAAATAATATTATTTAGTTTTCTTAAGAATTTTTTTTTCTTAAGAAAATGTATTTTTACAAATTATTTTGGCAGTTAAGCACCTTAATTCTTAAATTTATCTATAGCATAAGTGAAGCCTTAGTGGTCTTCATCATCTGGATTGAGGGATTGATTTTCTTTCTTTAAAAAAAGGTTTGCAGTATGATGGGAATCTTTTCTACAAAGAACATCAAACATTTGCATGTTTTTTCTTAAGAAAATGTTTTTTTTAACAGAAGCAAAATATTTTCACTTTTTTCTGAAAAAAAAATGCAAATTATTTTGGCAGTCAAGCACCTTAATTCTTAAATTTATCTATAGCATAAGGCCATCTCCAACCGTTCGGCAAACAACCGAATGGAGGCCCTCATGAGTCGCAATTGAACGCCTTTTCCTCCGCTATTTGATCGCGGATGAACAGTGCGACACCAATATTGGCGTTGCACTGTTCATCTGCGCCATTTTTTGGTCTCTACCGAACTTGCGGAAGAAAGGCGCGAAAGAAAATAGCGACGGTTAGGGGCCAAAATGACGTTCGATTGGATATGAATCACGACACATTTTTATTTCACTGCATTTTGCAATGAAAAATAAGATTTTCGGTTGGAGATGCCCTAAGTGGAGCCTTAGTGGTCTTCATCATCTGGATTGAGGGATTGATTTTCTTTCTTTAAAAAAAGGTTTGCAGTATGATGGGAATCTTTTCTACAAAGAACATCAAACATTTGCATGTTAGAAAATTTACGGTGATAGACAAAAAAATTTTACATCATAAATTTTCATTGACATCTAGTACATACATAAATAAAAGAGAAGAAATATAGAGTGTTGAAGTTTTTATGTGAGAACCTTAAAAGAGAAAAAAATCACGAGACCTGATTTTGTTAACTTAATCCAAAATATACTTCAAGTTTTGAAAGTTCGATCTTCCAAAAATTGGAGAAGATATTATTATAAAGTTTGGAGCACTTGCTTGCATGGTCTCTCATAATTGTAGTAAAGATTTAAAAGTAGTGGAGAGATAATGATGTCAATTAGATGATCATATAAGTCAAGTAATGTTTGTCAGATGATTGAGATCAGTTGATGAAGGTCGGGCGATACAGTAGGATCAAGGTGGTTAGATGATGTAATAATGGCTCCGCCAATGATTTCATCTCTGAATGTCCCGAAATGGACGTAGTAAGATTTGTGAGTTTACTTAGTATTATTGGTATTTTGTAACATATTTAGAGTCGTGTTTATGGTTATTTGGGTCAAAAAGGAGACTTGTGATTTGAATTTAGAATGAAATTGTTGAGTTGAGATATGCCCTTGGGGGTGTTGCAATGTTGCCCTCTCTGTTTGTTGGCGCAATGTTGCTATAAGTAGGGCGTTATAGCATTAGGGCTCCTCAAAGTGGCATTGCAATAATGGAAAGTGATACAAAGATCAAGGGGCTTGGCCAAGTTGCAAAATTCTATTATATAGTAAGTGATATAAAGATCATTCTTTCTTCATTGTTAGAGAAGTGGAAGAATATAAGATTAATTATCCACAGATGGATGATCTATACCCAACAATATGACTTAAATTTTTTAATTGGTATTATAGATGTCTAGAATTGGACTTTTATATATACCCAACAATAAGTTGCTTGATCAATGTGATTTTTGGTGGCGTAGCATACATAATTTTTTTTTTTTCTAGTGGATGATTGGATACTTGGAGAATAAATAAGAGTTGGTCAGGATATTTTGATTTATTTATTTATTTTTAAGTATTTCATTATATCCTCACCTTTTTTTTTCTTTTTTACTCTATAGCATTAAAGAATTCCTTGATTGATAGAGTTTTGAGTGTAATTTTTACTTTCTTAAATATTAATTTGGGATTAAACAAAATTTTCATTGTGATTTAAAATTATTACATATGATATTGAACTCATAAACCCTAAATCCTAAACACACGGCGTTTTTATTGAACTCATCAAAGCGTGCTATGTCTCAGGTTTAGGTTTTGTTTGTTTGAGTGTTTTTTTGCCTTCTTCATTTGGAAATGGAGGATTTTTTTTTGTGGCACTTTTGCACAAATGCTTTTTTGGGAACTGCATTTTTGTACTGTTTTAAAAAACTTTAGGGTATTCTATATATATAAAAGATTGTAGTTAAATTTTCTTTTGAAGAGGACGCAGTCCCGCTCAAACAACGCACTGAACGATCCATATGTGCCTAATGGACAGCCGGAAAATGATGCTGGAAACATCCTTCGGCAATAGGCCGGCGACCATAGAGGCACCTAAGAAGCCGGCAAAGAACAGCTACGCTCTCGTTTGCTCCCTGCTTGCTTCCATGACCTCCATCGTTCTCGGCTATGGTCAGCAAGCCGATTCTCCCTCATATCTATTTAATTATGTGTTAAAAAATATAAACTTTTTCGATATTTCGGATTCATAACATAAAAGATTGAGCTTGTCGATCTTGCAGACTTGGCGGTGATGACCGGAGCATCCATATTCATCCAGGACGATCTAGAGATCAGCGACACAGAGTTAGAGATCCTCGCCGGCATCATTAGCTTCTACTCCGTGATCGGCTCTCTCGCCGCCGGCCGCACCTCCGACTGGCTCGGCCGTCGCTACACCATGGCTTTGGCTGCTGCCATCTTCTTCGCCGGATCCATTCTAATGGGTTTCGCCACAAACTACGCCTTCCTAATGTGCGGCCGCTTCGTCGCCGGTATCGGCGTCGGCTACGCTCTCATGATTGCGCCAGTCTACACCGCCGAAGTCGCGCCTTCCTCAGCCCGCGGGTTTCTTGCCTCCTTCTCCGAAATCTTCATCAACATCGGCGTCCTCTTCGGCTTCATCTCCAACTTTGTCTTCGCAGGTCTGCCGGAACACATCAGCTGGCGCGTGATGTTCCTTATCGGTGCCGTTCCGCCAATCCTCATCTTCGCCGGAGTCCTCATCCTGATGCCGGAGTCTCCCCGCTGGCTCGTGATGCAGGGCCGCCTTGATGAAGCCGCCGCCGTTCTGGCCAAGACCTCCGACTCCCCCGAAGAAGCGGCACTCCGCTTCGAAGAGATCAAATCGGCAGCTGCTGATGAGGAACGCGGCCACGAGGAAGGCGTGTGGAGAGAGCTTCTTGTCCGTCCGACCCCCGTGGTCCGCCGCATAGTGATCGCAGCGGTGGGTATCCATTTCTTTCAGCAAGCCTCCGGCATGGACACGGTGGGCCTCTACAGCCCGAGGATATTCGAGAAGGCAGGGATCACTAGCAGGAACAAGAAGCTGGGAGCAAGTGTGGCGATGGGATTTATCAAAACCATATTTATACTGGTCGCCACGTTCTTTCTAGACAGAGTTGGGCGCAGGCCTCTGCTTTTAACCAGCGCAGGGGGGATAATACTTTCATTCCTTGCACTTGCGTCCGCGTTGCTAGTAATCGACCGGCAGGCGGAGGGCGAGAAGTCGAAGGCGGCGCTGGGGGTGACTATCGCGGCGGTGCTATCATTAATGGCGACGTACTCTATAGGATTGGGGCCGATCACTTGGGTATATAGTTCGGAGATATTTCCGTTGAGATTGAGAGCGCAGGGGGTGAGTTTGGGGGCGGGGACGAACAGGGTGATAAGTGGGGTGTTGACAATGTCCTTCATTTCGCTGTATAAGGCCATAAGCATATCGGGGGCTTTCTTCCTCGATGCTGGGATAGCTCTGATCGGTTGGTTTTTCTTCTATTTTTTCTTGCCGGAGACGAAAGGGAGGAGCTTGGAGGAGATGGAGAAGTTGTTTGAGCAGAAAGAGAAGCAAGTAGGGAAGGTTGAGGCTTTAGTTGAGAATGTAACTCCTATAATTTTAAGAACTGACCAGGAAACGTAAAAAGGCAAATTTTAGTCCTTTAAAACAGAAAAAAGTATAAAGCTCAACGGTAGTATTGGAGGAAAATTCGAAGATCAATCGGAATGCATCATGTCACTCTACGTCAATTTGTTCCTGACCTCTGAAAGCATATTCATGGCAGACCAGTCATATGTTGCTCTATTTTTGCATGTAGAAAAGATAGCAACATCAATAATTTGATTAGCTATTTTTGGGTAAACAATGTTGAACATATGAACAATTATTACGTCCTCCAATCGGATACAGAGGAACATCCGGTCGTAGGCAAAATCCCGCTTATACCGAGGTGTACCGAGTTTTTCCATCCTTACAGCGGACCTGTTGTTGATTTAGCATTGTATTGTGTCACCAGACAAGAAGATCGATATTTTAAAAATAGAGCAACATCGATACTTTTTTTTTATGTTTTTATATATATATAACATCTAAAAATTTATATTTACTTCAAAATATATTGATATTTAAATTCCATCAAAATATGTGCATAGAATTCTGCATTGATTTTGAATAAGTTCATACTAATAATATTTTTTTTATTATAAAATTTAGATATTAAACATTAGGAAATAGTCTAATATTCTTAATAGAGCTACCACACTAATAAATTTAGTTATAAAAATTTGTTTCTCATGATGAAAATTTCAGAAAATATTTTTTTTTTTGGCTATAGAATGCAGCGTTCTCATGTCAAACAGCTGCAGGAGCACTTGCTAGAAATGAATTGAGAATGAGAACTCAGCGAGAAAATTTTAGTTTTAGTGCACCGTGATTAGATGACTTCCAACAGAACTACATATGGTACCGTCAGCCATTCGTTTCATTTGAACACTAAATCACACACCAAATTTGATGGTTGAACAATGCGACGCCACACCTACGCCAATTTTCGGTGTTACGGGATTTGCCTGAGAAGCGCGCGAAAGAGGAGAAAAATAGTTACCTTCGCAGCGAGAAGAAGAAGCGAACGAAAGATTAAAAATAAATGGAGTTCGATTGGAGATGAATTACTACATTTTGAAATGAAAAATGAGTTTTTCGGTTGGAGATGCCCTTACTATAAAGAAGTCATGGTTGGTTAAAACCAACAATAATAACAAGTCTTTATTTTACTACGTGCAGTCAATAACATGAATCCTTTTTCTTCGTTATGGCATGTAAAGAATCAAATTTTTATTTAAATCTAATAAACACTGTCACTACAAGGCCTCAAATCTTGGATGAGAAAAATGGAGGCTGCGTTAGATAGTCAACAATCAGTATAAAACTTGTCGAACAATCACGATCGAATTGATTAAACCAAAATTCAAAAGATAGCAGTTTGAATTTGAACCATCAAGCTGAACTAGTAAGATAGTACAAAAGCCTTTCCACATGAGTGCTTTACGAAATATTAATATAATAATACAACAAATGGTAGCTCTCCCAATAATGAAAGAGTGGTGCATAAAGCCTCTAATATTAGCATGTTCCCTATAAAGCTACATAATTTGGAAACAGGACTTATAAGATTTCAACGAAGGATTAAAGATAGAGGCTTCATTTGGTACGGTTTCTTACTGCTTTTTAAAATATTTTTTAGCATAAATATTTTAATTTTTGTATTAAAAAATTATTTTAAGAAGCAGTAAGAAATCCGCCTCATATGAAGCGATAGTGCAGACTTGTTCCATGTCAGGCAGTCGGATTCTTGCTAATTAAGCAGAAGCTTCTTGCAACAATAGCATCAGCTACTGCTTCAAGTACCTAGAGGCACAGAGAACAGATCATCAATAAATCTTCTCTCTCTCTCTCTGTGAGCACATTCATGAGGGTTTGTAAAAATAGCTAGAATCAAGGAAACAAGAACATTGAACTTGCAAATCTGGTAAAGATCCGAGTAGTAACAGAATAAGAAATACCATAATTTTGTTGCTTCTTTGAAAACTCAAAAAAGGCTTTGAGAATGGCACCATATTTCATAGATTTTAGCGGTCCCATATGTCTGCAAATATAAATAAGAATATTAAGTTGCAAATAAAGTAATGTAACAGACTGGATAGAAATAGAGTTGCAGCACAAAATGCTTGTGCATGCAGAAACTATATTAGAAAATTTTGATTCAGAAAGGAAGCCTCGATGAAAATTGGGATGCTAAAGTAAGAGTAGGAGAAATTATTCTGTGCGGAGTTCGGGCGGGAAGAATCGTCTGGATATGTGAGTATACACTGTGTACAAAAATTTGATGCACGTTATATACAAATTTGTACATAGTGTGTACACTAACATGTCCGGATGATTCTTCTCGTCCAGACTCGGCACAAAATAATTTCTCTAGTCGTTGCTGAAGGAAACTCTGTAGAGTCACAAAATAAGAAAGGTTAAAAAAAAACTTGATGCTCAATGTGCCAATGATCAATGATCAATGATTGCAAAATGGGAGAGTAATCTACTACTAAATAAAAGTTTTGTTTGTGATGACTTTCTTAGTGTTTTCTAAAACAACTTTTTAATACCCTAAAATTTGTATTAAAAAACTGCTATAAAAAGTAGCAAGAAAGCTGTCCCAAACAAAATCTTAAATTTGGTGTCATCATTTATGTATTAAGTTTGGGTTTTTTTTTTAATTAATTCAATAAGATGCATGAAGATTGCTAGGTGTTAAAAAAAAAAGACTATTCGTAAAGAGTTTTCACAACAATATTAGAATGGATGTTGTAGTAGAAATCAGGTATAGGTTTAATTTCAATCTTTTTTTGGATTCATTAAGGGGTTAAGATTTTGTTTATTTATTTTGTTGGTTAAATAATCCTTACGGATAATTTTCGAGATTGAATTTGAATTATTAGGATTAGATTAGTTTATATAGGTTTAGAATTGAATCTAAATGTTTGTTTTTATCTTTGAAAATTTATCTAGTAACTTATTTCCCTAAATAGGGAATTCAAGACTTATAATTGATTATCATTTAATGAATAATAAAGATATTTCCTAATCTCCTCTTTTAGATGGACTCTTAATTGTTTTCTCTCTCTCTCTTGGGCCTGTCTCCCTAGTTTCTCTCTTCCCATTACCTGAATTTACATCAATAGGCCAATCCAAAATAGCCTATACTTGACAGGATAAACGAAAGTTAGAATCCATAATAAACTATAAAAAAGTTTGATTATTGCATATTTTTACTACAACTTCTGTTGTTTTGGTTCACACCCTAAGAAGTGGTATCAAAGCAAAAGGTTTTGTTGGGAGGTACATGTCGTTTAAACCTAGGGGTGTCAATATTTGACACGACCTAAAAACCCGACACGAACCCAAACCGCTCGCATCCCGAAGCCTCGCGTCCCGAATCTGCCCAGCGTCGCATCCCGCTGACCCGCCTGTTCGCCGTCCACGCATCTTGCCGTCGGTCGCTAGCCGCTTCCACCAGCTTCCGCTGCCGCCGGCCCACCGCTGCTACTGGCGTTGCCGTGTCCACGGGTCAGGTTAGGTTGACCCGAACCCAAAGCGGGTCAAGTTCGGATCCGAAAAACCGACCAATTTGCAAACGGGTCGGGTTCGGGTTGACCCAAATAGTGCTGGGTCAGTTCCAGGTTCGACCTGAACCCGACCCGTGACCTGAAATTAACACCCCTACTTAAACCTCTATTTCTATGGTACCTTCAACTATGGTTGAGTGAAATTTGAGAGTAGCGACTCCCATGATGCCTCAATATGATTGAATGAGCTCTAGGTGTATGATACTTGATAATATTAAACTATATATGAAAGCTTCATTAAACAATGGGTAAGACACTATTGCTGATCGTCGTTAGGAAAAAAAAAACAATGGGTAAGATAAATAAAAGCACACGTATATAATTAGCATTGCAAAGAAAAAACCTAGTATTAGAAATATTAATAATGTACAGAACGCCTCAAGTACTCATAAAAGCTGATCTAAGAACTTAAGAACTCATGTTCCATAACCATGTCAGTATAAAAATAGGTAAATTCGGTAAAACCTTCACGGAAAAGGGTACAAAAGCATACAAATGTAAGGGTAAAACTTGAAATGCTATATTAACAGATTGTCCATGCAGGTAATCCTAAATGAAATCTGATTTGCTTATAACAAAAAATGACAGCAGTCTCAGCTCAATATACTTGTATTAGAAATAAGACTAGCTATTCAATTATGATTAAGACATGAAATGACTATCGAGTATATGTACATGCAAAAACAGAGGGGATTATTGTACATATATGACAATTTTGACCGAAAAAAGAAGAAATACTTGTGCAGCTATAACCACTAAACTCACACAATCTCTGTGTAGCGAATTCTCCATGCAGGGAATCCCAGATGGCATCTGACAGGTCCATATACAAGAAGGAGACCAGGGTCAGGTCCACCACATCCTAGAAGAGAAAAAAAGTTTTTATAACTCTGTTGTGGACCATAAATTCTACACAAAATTCCATAGCATGGAAACTATGAGAAATGATAAATTGTTTATTCAAAGATCATGAGCACATATACTAGTAAGAAACCCACCCACTATATTTAGAGCATCAGAAATTTCAGTTTCAGTGATTCTGAAATCCTGTCTGTCACAGCTTGCAAGCTCTTCTTTCAGATACTTGGAGCATAAAAAGCTAGCTGCTTTGGCAAGTCCTCCTTTATTATCAGCGAAAGAAAGCAGTTCTACAGTCATTTTATTTTGATGGGGGACTGATGTCATGCCCTTCATAATAATCATAAAAATTTCAGTAAGTTAAGCTAAGGCAGCATACGCATGTAGAGGTAAAAAAAATAAAATAAAAAAAAATGAAACCGTGTCACATGATAACCCTTCAGATTTTCTTCATGTTTTTTCTTCCTGTCAGCTTTGTGAATCTTAATTTGACATTCGTACTTGTTATGTGTCACATTAGCTATTAAGTAAATCGCTATAATGACTTTTAGTTTAGTTATCTACTTATCTTCGACATACTCCATTTCCTTACAGCCAAGCCTATTACCACAAATGAGTAATAGCTCAAGATTAATCTCTAATGAAATGGCAAGTATCAAACTCCTATTGAATGAGATTACTTGCACTTTCTAAGCAGTTATAAACACTGTAATTAGTAGGGGGCAAAACATAAGCACTCTTTAACCACTTCATTTAAAGTTTAGACTTTTTGTATTCACAGACAAATGACAATATAGCTCATATTGATGGGTATAAATAGAAATAATATCTAAATGTGTTCTATGTGCAACTCCTTGTTTTATTATATTTCAACAAGCAAAAGTAAAAGATTCTTTTTAATATGTACAGAGAAATTTACAATGCAATAACTAATAAAGTATGTAGTACTTACATTGATAAAGCTGCTCGAATCTCCATCAAGAGATTTCTTCAGAACACCTATATGATGAAATCATAAGGAGTTACGAACGAAGCCAGAATTATATCCATACAACATGTAATAAACTCTCCCCAGTATAATTAAAAGATAATATATTATGTAAACATCAATTTCTTAAAGGATGGCAGTTAACCTTCCAGATCATATAAAATCAAAGACTTCACTCCAATATTGGACAACCAAAGCAGTAGCTGTTTGACCTTTATTGTGCTTCTTGCTTCATCGCTATCCACCACAACTGCAAGATGCCTAAGGTTATGCAATGGGACATTCCGATAACTTTCTGACAATCCTACTGAAATACTGTAAGATTCAAAGACTTGCAACAAATGAGCCCCGAATTGATAGATGCTGAAGACTAGATGGATTGTCCACCAGCATATTCTCAAAGCCAATCTCATAAACCAAGACATTTGAAATCTCTGCATGATCAAAACACAAAACATATCATGAGACTATTTTGATTCCTCTTCAAATATTTAAGGGATCAAAATGGTTCTTTAATATAGTTGGAGATCATTTTGGCTCTTTTTAAAAAGTTAGAGGACCATTTTGATTATTTTCCCTTTGATAATTAGTACTGTAATTAGTAATAAAATTATTAATTAAATTGTTTAATAATTAAGCTAGCTTCTAATTATATTATTTATTATTATAACTTATTGATGGTAATTAAAATTAAAATCAATAAGTAATTAGTACTTAACACAAATTAAACACAAAGCATATTAAATTTAATTTTTAAATAAACTAACTACATTAAATCCTATATTTCGTTGTCAAACATTTTCACAAGATTTAATATGATTTAACAACAAACTTGCCAAACTGTTTTCAGGATTTAACATACCCAAAATTTATTAAACCCAGATTTATAGGATTTAGTAAATCCTACTAATGTTAAATCCTATTTATTGCTGAACAGCCTCTAAATTTAAGCTGCATCATTTGCCACCACAGAACTGTCCTAATTCAGTCCTATATAGGAATTTTACCACTGAATATCATAAAGAAGTAATTTCGATCAGATCATTTAAGGCTAAAGCAACTAAACAACAAGCAATGCGCTGGTAAGACAATCATTTTGATCTATGCACTCGTTATATCTCCCAAAGCAATAGTGTATTTAAGATAAGGGTAACTGGCGTAGCGCCTAAAATGTAGTAGACTGAAGCTTAGACGAACTAGATCTGAATAAAAAACAGAGATTAACCACATCTGAGAAGAATGTGAGTAGAAGCAAATGCAGGATCGTCGGGTTTTCAATTCCTGAAAATAAACTTGGACAAGATTCTTTCTAAATACTAGAAAATATAATCATCTAGTTATAACTGCACGAAAACACAGTAGAGAGGGAAAAAAAAAACAAGCAGCGAAGTAGAAGTGGTAACCTCTCGGATGCCTCTAAAGATAGGCGTAGAAATCGCAGACAATCATCACGGCATCAGATTCAAACCATATGTCTGCTTATTTCTTCTTCATCGAGGAGGGAAAAGAGTTCAGGAGAATTCGTAAGGAATTAGAAACCTAACGAAGGGGAGGGATACAAATTTAAATTTATTTTAATTAATTCATTATTTTTTTAATAAAAAAAGATTGGATAGAAATAAATTAATATACAATTATAGAAAAAATTATTATTAAATATGCATTTAAATTGATTTTATGAACATAAATAAATTAATAATTTAATATTTTATTTATATGATGCATTTTTTATTTTTATTTTATTTAATTATATAAATAAATAAATGTCTAGGCTAATTCAATTATAGTCTTAACTAGAGGCGGTAATAAATGACCCAACCAGTCAATCCCGTCTGAAAAATGAATTGATCAATTTAATAAAGGGGTGGGATTCGAGATGAATTTTCCAATCCGTTTAATAAACATGTCAGCTTCACGTTGAACCGCAAACCCGCTTTTTACTCAAAAATGGCTTGTTGAAAAAAAATATTAAATTTAAATTTGATATGAACATAATATAATTATTTTATCATGATATTTCCAATAAATTTGAGGTTAGAGTAATGTATTATCTACTAATAAATCAACATATACTAGTAAATAAAATGGAGAAAAAAGTATTTATTTCAATGAATTAAAAATTGATTTTTTTTTTTATTTTTTTATTTTTTGCATTGTCTTAACATTAATTTTTTTTCGGCATACATTGATGATTGAATTATAAAAAAAAAAAAAAAATTGGTCATAAATTTTGCATTTTGATAAACTTTGGGAGGAAACTCTTGAATTTCTATCAATGTTTATTAAAAAAATAATTATTGTGAGTATTAAAAAAAACATAAAAAATTAATTATGAGGACTATTATATAAAATACTTTAAATTTAATTTGCCCTTGATCAAACACCAAAAATTTAAAACCCCTGTATTTTAAATGTAGGGACTCAAAACCCCTTCACATCAAACAACCTCCAAAGCTACCCTAGTTCTATATTAGCAAATTAATTTTTTATTTACTCACATAATCAAATATTTAAATATCATAAAAATATCACTTTCAACATCTTCCGTATCATGGAGGGCACAATGAAATCCTCTTCTCCTTCACACATTGTTGATCTTATCAATGCTCTTTCCCCAGCAATATTCCACCATAAATTCCTCACATCTTTTTCGTCATTGAGGATCCTTGATAAGCTGTCATGTCATAACTTCCTCGCATCTTATTTGTTGTCTTAAGTTTGGAGATTTTTTTTAGGGGCAGTTAGGGGATTCGAGTCCGAGTGAGATAGGAAGAATTTCTTACGTCGACCACTCGGCCGTAGACCCGATATGAAGTTTCAAGATCTTTGAGTGGGGAGAGACTGGAGAAAATGAGTTACCATGAAAGAAAGTGGTGTAGTCGTTTACCTGCAACGAAGCTCCTGCAACGAAGCTACACAAGGCAATGTAACAGTAACAAGTTTGTGGAAAACCAGATGAAAATTCTATATGCCTTTTTGGTAACAAAACAAGGAAGATAACCTCAAAGGATACCGAATTACTCTAAGTGAAATTAATAAAATACTGAAAATAACAAAAGCAAAAGCAGGGAACGGTTATAGGCAGAGATCGTGCCATGTGGCTGAGCTGGCACAAGTCTTCTAGTAAAGCTTAATAGGTACTAGGTAATATCAGATGATACTCGCATCAGATCCCTCCTCCTTCGGAATAACTCATCTCCGATGAGTTAATAGCAGTTTCAACTTCATCCGGTGGGTGGTATGGAAACATATCTGCCACATTGAAGGTAGAAGACGTTGTAATGTGGGAGGGCAAATCAATGATGTAAGCGTTGTCATTCACTTTGCGCAGCACCGGAAAAGGTCCAAACTTTTTGGGATTGAGCTTTGGACAGGGCCCCGACGGAAACCGCTCCTTGCGGTATTTCAACATGACTAGTTCTCCAGGGACGAATTCTACCTTCCTTCTATGTTTGTCCTGATCAGTTTTATACTTTAAATTGCTTTCCGTCAGCTTATTGCGGACTTCTTTGAGCATACTGGAGAATTGTTCCGCGCTTTTGATGGCCGCCGGACTTTTACATTTAGGTATAAATGCAAGGTCCACAATGTGGTTTGGCATTTTAGTATATACAATACTAAAGGGGCACTGACCTGTTGACCGGTTTGGCATGGAATTGAAGGCGAACTCCGCTTGACCGAGGACTTCTTCCCAAGCCTTGGGATGGTTCTGCACAAGGCACCGCAACATGTTACCAAGAGTTCGGTTTACTACCTCAGTTTGTCCATTCGTTTGAGGATGGTAAGCGGAACTGAGTTTCAAATCGGTGTGAAGCATCTTCCACAATTCCCGCCAAAAGTGGCTGACGAACTTAACGCCTCGATCGGACGTAAGGCTGCGAGGGATCCCGTGTAAACGGACGATCTCTTTAAAGAACAACTTCGCAATGCCTAAAGCGTCGAAGGTTTTTTTACATGGAATGAAGTGTGCCATATTCGAAAACCTGTCGACCACAACGAGAATGGAGTCGGAGCCACGTTTTGTTCTCGGCAAGCCTAAAACAAAATCAAGACTCAAATCCTCCCATATTGAATCCGGAACTGGTAAGGGCAAATAAAGCCCATAATTCTGAGAAGTTCCTTTGTATTGTTGATAGACGGCTCATCGCTCAACAAATATGGATACATCCCGCCTCATATGCGGCCAAAAGAAACGGGATTGTAGCTGTTGTAAAGTTTTGTCTCTTCCAATGTGGGCTGCCAACCCTCCACAATGTAATTCTTTGATAAGTTGTTGGCGCCAAAATGAAGATGGAATGCATAAACAATTCCCTTTAAATAAGAACCCGTGTCTCAATGTGAAGTCAGTGGAAGGCTTACCGAAACAACATTCTTCCTAGGCAGAAGTAAAATTCGGGTCACCACTATACATATTTTGCATTTCCTGTAACCCGGTGATGTCGGTTTGAAGCTGAGTGAGTAATGCAGCACGACGACTCAATGCGTCTGCCACTCGATTCATTTTCCCCGTTTTGTAGTGAACTACAAAACTAAATTTTTGCAGAAAAATTACCCACCTCGCGTGCATTTTATTGACAGTCTTCTGGTTGTTTAAATATTGCAACGATTGGTGATCACTGCACAACACGAAGTCTTGGTGTAGAAGGTAATGCTCCCAATGCTTCAATGCTCTCACAACGGCGTATAATTCTTGTTCATAAACAGTCCATTTTTGGCGCGGAGGACTGAGTTTCTCACTGAAGTATTCGATGGGACGGTCTTCTTGATACAACACCGCTCCTATGCCTACTCCGGAGGCGTCAGTATCGACCTGGAACGGTTTTTCAAAGCAGGGTAAAGCCAAAACTGGCGCGTGACTGAGAGCTGCCTTGATATTGTCGAAACTCTCTTGTTGAGAAGATGACCAGAAGAATGAAGAACCTTTCAACACATCCGTGATTGGAGCCATGATCACGCTGAATCCCCTAATAAAATGACGGTAAAAGTTTGCTAATCCATGAAAGCTTCGAATTTCAGTCACGGTACGGGGCGTAGGCCAATCTCGAACAGCTTCTACCTTCCTCGGATCCTCCTGAATACCCTCGTGAGGCACAACAAATCCCAGAAAATAAACTGAATGGGTCGCGAATTCGCACTTGGATAGATTCAGGTATAATCTATGCTCACGCAGAGCTTGGAATACTAGTGTAAGATGCTGAATGTGCTCTTCTAGGGACGAACTGTAAATCAGTATATCATCAAAATAGGATACACAGAATTTGCCCGAAAATGGCTTCAGCACCTCTGTCATCAGCCTCATGAAAGTGGAGGGGGCGTTGCACAACCCAAATGGCATAACTCGACATTCAAAGAGTCTTTCCCGGGTCTTAAATGTTGTCTTCCATTCATCTCCGGGACGAATACGAACCTGGTGGTATCCACTTCTGAGGTCCAATTTAGAGAACACGGCGGCGCCTTCTAATTTATCCAGCAAATCGGGAATCCTTGGAACAGGAAACTGGTATTTCGTTGTGATCTTATTTATAGCACGACTGTCTATACACATCCTTCATTGCCCGTCTTTCTTGGGTACGATCAACGCGGGTACCGTGCACAGGCTGAGGCTGTGTTGGATGAGTTTCCGTTTCAATAGATCATCCATAATATCTTGAAGAATAGCGTGTTCTTTAGGACTCATTCGATAAGGAGGCAAATTGGGCAAGGAAGCTCCGGGAATAAGATCAATTTGATGCTGAATGGTGCGAAGTGGCGGTAGATGGGCAGGTAACTCTGTAGGACCAATATCAGCAAACTCAGCTAAGAGCTGATTCACTGCTTCAGGGACGGCGTGCAGGTCCTGGTGCTTGTGATTGTCAGCGGCCACGAGAGCTAGGACTGGAACATCTTCGGGAAGAGATTGTAATAATATATGACCGGACACTAGATATGCCGCGGCCTTGCCCTTATCATCCTTGCCAACGGAGTCAGCATTGTGTGGTAATAACCGCAATCGTTTACCCTTCCAATCCAGTGAATACACGTTTGCTTGGCCTTCATATGTGGCATTAGCGTCAAATTGCCATGGACGCCCAAGAATCATGTGACACACATCCATTTCTAAGACATCGCAAGTGACTTCACAAACGTAATGTTTTCCAATAGAGAATGTTATTTTACAACATTCTGCTACAGTTAACTCTAACCCACGTTTCACCCATCCAATCTTATATGGCTGATTCTTCTTATTAGTTTTCAACTGCAACGCTTGCACCACCGACCGGGAAATCACATTCTCCGTCTAGCCACTGTCTATGAGTAAGTCACAAATTTTGCCATTTATAGTGCACCTAGTCCGGAATAGAGCATTTCGTTGCGATGGCAAAGTATGTCTTGGTGCTAGTAACAGTCTCTCCAGAATGCAAACCAATGGCTCTCCCTCGTCTCCTGGAACATCTTCCGTCTGGCCCTCATAGTCGTCATCCTCTCTTCCTTCTTCTAAACCGTCTCCCTCAATTAATTGCAGCTGTGGTCGATTGGGACAATTGATTTGTGTCCCGGTTGGAAACAGCGAAAGCACTTTAAAGTTGTGGGCCTACTATAGAGATTTTCCCGTATAGGAACCTTCGGCTTGACAGGAGATTTATTTTCTGGAGCGGTAACATTAGAATTTGGTTGCGACTTTGTAGCAGAGATTGTGGCTCTTGACGCATCAACAGCAGATTCATGAGAGAAATGCCGACGACTAGAATGACTTCTAGACTGTCTCTGCATTTGGGTTTCTATCTTCAACGCGAAATTCACGGCTTGCGATAGGGACCACACCGTGTTTAACTCCAGCTTATCTTGAATCTGCTCCTTAAGCCCACCGATATATCTGGCAACCAATTGATTTTCGGTTTCTTGAAGATTGTTGCGGGCGCTGAGACGATAAAACTCCTCTGTGTATTTGTTGACAGTACGCGTTCCCTGAGTACAATGTTGATATTTGAGATAGAGCATTTTCTCATAGTCGGTAGGTAAGTAATGTCCCCGTAACAATTGTTTCATCCGCAACCAGCTGCGGACAGGTCCCCGACCTTCTCGTCTCCTGGACTGATTGAGTTGCAGCCACCACGCACTCGCGCCCGCTTTCAGCCGACACGCCACGTATTTCACCTGTTTCTCTGGGTGGATTTCCATATATTCGAAGAACGTCTCTACGGATCGCTCCCAATCTAGATAATCTTCGATATGGAGATGACCATCAAAAAAAGGAATATCAATTTTTACTTTAAACTCACCGTGGTCTCGGCGAGGATGTCCTCCTCGTCGTCGAGGGTTCTCATAATAGTAAGGTCGCTGCTCGTCTTATGAATCCGTCAAATCCCGAGGAATACGATGATGCAGTTCTCCGTTTGATTCTGAAAGATCAGCACCAATGTCGGTCATCCGTCGTCGGGGTCCTTCCAAATTACCTCCCGTCATGGCTGCCCGGAGCGGAACACGCCCAGGCACTGTAGGATCTCCTGCGGTTTTGAGAGCAGCTAGTTCAGTCCTCATCTTCATGGAGAGGCGAAATAGTTCTGCTCGAATTTCCTCCAAACTGCGTGTGAAGCTCGCCTGAGCTGCCCACAACGCTTCTAGACTCCGATCATCATCGGCGGGTCGTCGCGAGCTCCCTTCGGCCATATCCCAGTTAGGCTCTGATACCAAAATGGTGTAGTCGTTTACCTGCAACGAAGCTACACAAGGCAATGTAACAGTAACAAGTTTGTGGAAAACCAGATGAAAATTCTATATGCCTTTTTGGTAACAAAACAGGGAAGATAACCTCAAAGGATACCGAATTACTCTAAGCGAAATTAATAAAATACTGAAAATAACAAAAGCAAAAGCAAAAGCAGGGAACGGTTATAGGCAGAGATCGTGCCATGTGGCTGAGCTGGCACAAGTCTTCTAGTAAAGCTTAATAGGTACTAGGTAATATCAGATGATACCCACATCAGAAAGTAAGAAATTATAGTTTAATAAGTATGAAATTTCAAGCTTTATATATATGTGTGCGTTCATATAAAATTATAAATATTTTCATCAAATTAATCTCTCAAAATATGCAAAGTTCCTTAGGAGAATATACCTCAAACAAAGAAATATTTACTTAGACTTTGTTTGGGGCGGCTTTCTATTGATTCTTAAAATAGAGTTTTAGTTATTTTTTTTTTAATTTTTTAACTAAAATTTTGTTTTAAGAAACTTTGTTTTGTTTTAAGAAGCAATAAAAAAGTTATCCCAAACGAAACTTAGGGGCTGTTTGGTATCGGAATCCCGGATTTAAGTCGGATTTACGCTAAAATCCAACCAAAGGGTTTTTGTGTGCTCGTTAAATCCCGGGATTCCGTAAATCCGGATTTAGGGATTTACGGCTTAAATATCGGATTTACTAAATCCCTCTGTTCGGCGGATTTAACGGGATTTAGCAGAAGAAGCGAGCGAAAGGGAGAAAGTTACCTTCACAGCCAGCGAGGTCCCGTTCTTGCTTCCGATCAAAATGTGGAAATTTCCGATCCGACAGGAAGGGAAAGACGTCGAAGGAGCGAAGTTGAACAGTCACGAAGGAAACGAAGATAATTATAAATTTATTTTTTAATTTATAATTATATTTTTCACATTTAAATCCATAACTTCCATAAATCCTGAAATATGTTACCAAACTGTTTCTAAGGATTTAACAAGATTTAACATTTGACATACCAAATAGTTTCAAGATTTAACACATTTCGGATTTATTAAATCTGGATTTACAGGATTTACTAAATTCCACTAAAGTTAAATCCCACTTGTTGCCAAACAGCCCCTTAGAGTAATAAGAATAGCTGTCTTATTGTAACTTCTTATAGTTCAAATTTATAATTTCAAAAGGTAGAAAGAATTTATGAAACTAGAAAGAATTTAATGATGTGGTCTGAAGCTTTGGAAGCTTATTTTTATATGGGCAATCACATGAAATACGAATGAACCATTTTGCATTCGAGAGCTAACTCTATAAAAAGTGTTGCATTCAGGATGAACAGTTTAATCATTTCGGATGAGGATAGATAGTGTATCTCTCTGCCTGACTGATTAGTTATATCAGAGACCATTTATGAAAAATAAACTAAATTCCAACATGAATAATGAAGATGTTCAACGATGAAGTAATGGAACTTTTTGAGCTAACGCCATTGATGAAAACATATATTGGTTGGGTTGTGTGGTGTCAATGGACTTCTACTGAACAACAGAAGAGATTGACCATTGCAGTTGAGCTAGTGGCTAATTCATCAATAATTTTCATGGATGAACCAACCTCTGGATTAGATATAAGGGCAGCAGCAATGGCTATAAGAACGATAAAATAACAGGACACAGGAAGGACAGAAGGGAATAAATGGGAGAAGAGATATATGGAATTTTTATTCGGTGCGGAGTTCGAATGTCGTCTAGAGACCAACAAAAATGTGTCACGTCACCTCAAAAGTGCACCGTGCTCGGTGCCGAGCACGGGACCGATGCTCGGTACCAAGCGGTATCGGACGGGAGACTCCCGTCCGGTGTCCACATAGAATAATCTCCCAGATATATGTGGATCCCTTAGGGTATATAACTCATGTGAAGTGACAAGTTACTTTGAGGTAAGTGATGAACAACGATCAATAATAAATGTCTGCATTATTAAAATGCTGATGAAATGTTTTATCCAGGATTAAAGATGGCTAAAATCCAGCAACATGGATGCTGGAGGTAACAAAACAAACAAAAGAAGAAAGCCTGGGAATCAACTTTGCCAAAATATACAAGATTTTAGACTTGTTTCGGTATATACATGTGTAGCTTACAATAATTAGGTTATTCTAAACTAGAAAACATTTTGGCGAAGTGAGAATGTTGGTGTCAATTTCTTAGAGAAAAAATGAAGCTTTGATTAATGAACTTTGTACGCCTCCACAGTGTACAGATGATCTTCACTTCCTCAGTAGATATGCACAGCCATTTCTTAAACAACGCGCTGTTTGCTTCTGGAAACAATATAAATCATATTGGCACAATCCATCCTCACTGTTGCACAACTCTTGTTCACAGAAATTCTGTCACTAATGCTCGGCTCAAATTTCTGGTAACTTGACTCTAAAACAAGATAAATTATTCTGTGTGGTTACCGAACGGTCAAAAGGCGAATCAAAATGCGACACATAATCCAGTATCGAGTGGTACATAATAGCGGTACACAACAAAAAAATGATGTGGCGCATTCTCATTCGTCTCTGGACGTCATTCGGTGGCCACATAGAATAATTTTTCCTAAATGCAGGGTGTTCCTCAGCTTTAGTATGATTTGAAAGAGAGGCTTTCATGTCATCTTCATAACCATTAAATAACATTAATAAAAATTAAAATTTTGAAAACCAACTTTTGCAGGAGAACTAGGCAAGATTTGTTCAACTTTATGGGATCGATGTATTCTTCAGTTTTGTTCATTGGAATACAAAATTTTCAAACCGTGGAGCCTATTGTTGACGTTGAAAGAACCGTATACTATAGAGAGAAGGCTGCTGAAATGTATTTTGTTATGCTCTGTGTGCATACAACAACAACATCAAGTCTTTGTCCCACTACGTACGTGGGGTCGGCTGCATGAATCTTTTTTCGCAATTGTGTCATGTTAAATGTAAAATTCTCGTTTAAATCTAATGAAGAAATATCATTTCTAATATTTTCTAACCAAGTCATTTTAGATCTACATCTACCTTTCTTAACATAATTCAAATCAAATACCTCAACTTTCCTAATCGGGTCATCGTAAGGCCTCCGTTTAATGTGACCAAACCATCTAAGGCGGCTCTCTCTAATCTTATCTTCCACTGGAGCTACTCCAACCTTATCAAATATATGCTCATTTTGTATCCTATCTCTAAGGATAAAACCACTCATCCACCTAAGCATCCTCATCTCTGCAACACTTAACTTAGTATTATTCTTCTCTTTTAATGACCAACATTTGGCACCATAAAGCATTGTAGGTCTCACCACCATCTTATAAAATTCTCTTCGTGTACCTGCTCAGATAAAATCATTGAGAAATAAATTTCTCTTTCAATAAAAAATTTTAAAGATAACTTTGGGCGATTGTCTCTTTTTTTTTTCTTTTTCTGCACTTATTAATAAGAGTACACATTTTAGATATCTTGGATCTATTATTCAGAAGTGATGGTGAGATAGACGGGGATATTATCAGTAGAATTCAAGTTGGTTGGTTGAAGCAGAGGAATGCATCGGGCTTGTTGTGTGATAAAAAAGTCCCCCTCAAACTTAAAGGAAAATTCTATAAGATGTAGGGCTTCTTAAAAAGTCTTTTACAAGCTTTGAGATTCCTCAACCTGTGAGTTTATTTCTTGGGAACTCTATGCAAATCATTCAAGCACTAAGTTATTTGGGCCAAATGTAGAGATTGCCTATGTGTTGGCGATGGTACTATTGGGCACGTCCAGTTTCGTGGACTTTGTATGGCCTAGTTGGATCACAATATGGAGACATTGATGACATTATGGATAATGGTGAATCTGTCAAAGACTTTTTAAGAAGGTTTTTTGGTGTTAACCTCTGTGTAATGATAAAAAAAAAAGAAGGAATCACGAAAAAAATGGCATACCTCGTATATGTCGAGCAGCCAGCCAAATCTCCCGAAATCCTGCCCGATATCCCGCAAAACTTGCTCAAATCCCGCTGAATCGCGTACCTGTTCGGAGCCGCTGTCATCGCCTCCCGAAAATCCTGTGACAGCGCCTCGATCGCGCCTCTCTCAGAGTCGTTAAATACCAACCCAAATGAGAGCTTCGGCCCTCACTTGATCCCGAGCTCCTCCCTCCCTCATTCGCGACGCCTCTTCCATCTCTGTCCGATCCCACACAGCAAACGACCTCACGATCTCTCCTTCCTCCCCTTTGCCTGTGCCGATCTCTGGTGCAAACCGAGAGAGAGAGAGAGAGAAAGAGAGAGAGAGAGAGAAACCTACCCAAATCCTTCCTCCGCCGGTCTCCTGCCCTGGCCGACACCTTCACCGACTTTCCCTTCCTGGACGGATCGGAAGTTTCAACATTTTGATCGGAAGCCACAAGGGAACTCGCTTGCTTTGAAGGTGATTATCTCCCTCTCACTCGACTCTCGGCCGAATCCCGTAGGCTGGCCGAACCGGGAGGGAGGTTTCATTTTTTTTAGGGGTTTTTACCTGCATTCCACTTTTTTATATCTATATTACATATTTAACATCTTAAACTTAAATATTACATTCTTATCATCCGAACACTAATTTAATAACAAATATACCACTCTGTCCAAACAATGCTTCACTCCGTCTCTTACTTCCCGCCTAATCTCTTTCCACCAGAGAAATCTCTCTTTTCGCGTGAACAGTTATTTCTGTGTGTGCTTCTCTCTGCTCTCTCCGCATCTGACATGTTTTCTCCCGCGTGAGTTCTTCATTCCATGTGTACTCTATTTGATTTGTTGTATTTTCGTGTAGCTATTATTGCAGTGTTTGATTGTAGCTTAGCACTTTAGTTTTATTTCTCCCTAAAATCGGACATTCATAAAACAAAATCTGTAGAATCAGACATTCAAAAATGTCCGATTTTACATAAAATCGTGCCATTGTTGTAGAACAGCTGTGCACTTTGTGTTTAGAATCCAAAATCACTAACACTTGCAAGAGTAGGTGCATTCTGTAGGAGCAGTTGAGCAAAAGACAAAAGCTAATCATAAATCCCTTGAAAGGAAATAGTAACAAAATCAACAAAAAGAATAATACTAGAAAACACAATCGCAAAGGGATCTCATAAATCTAGGATCAAACTCTGAGAAAGCACAGCATAAATACATATCAGTTGGATGCATAAAAGACATTTCCAAAACTTTCAAGCGCCTAAGCATCGTCTGAGATCTCCGTAGGTGGTAGAAATAGCATGAAAACATAGGATTTCACGAGAAATGCAGGCGAGGAGGTTGTGTTTCGCGGGAAGAGCACAGCAGCACGCGAGTCGTTAGGGATTGGTGAAGGTAGAGACACTTTATCCCTAAAACTTCGAAAAACCATTCCCGACGCTTGCATCGCGGCAAACGACCATCTATGCACGCTTTTCTCTAGCTTGGTAGGAGGGAATTCGTTGCGGTGCTTGCAAGGGGACGGGTAATCAAAACCCAATTTTCAGCTTTAGTATCAGACCGGAAAACTAACTCATGCACGCTTTTCTCTAGCGTGGTGAGAAGGGAACCCGGTGCGATGCCTACGGCGAGGCGGGATCAAATATAAACTTGCTTATTTTGAACTGGTTCCCGCAACCCATGCATGCTTTTCTCTGGCGTGGTGGGGAATAAAAATTATTACGGTCGCGATGTCCCCGTTCGAGGGCACATACTGTGCACGCTCTTCTCTAGCGTGGTGGGAGGCCCAGTTTTCCGTAATTTTCCCCTAAACGGGGGAGACGCCGGAAGGCTGCCAAAATTTCGTGTAACTGCAATTCATACTTGGGACAATAAGGAGCTTTACTTGGACATTGATTGGAGCATCAAATGGACTTAATTCAAACTTAAACAATCAATAATAATTTCAAGTGCAAACAAAACAAAAGAATGGCTCGAACTCAAGGGACCACAGAATAATAGAACTGAACTCAGACTTAGATTTGAACTCAAGCATAAACTATAATGGACTTGATGAACTACAAAGGACTACACTCAAGCTTGATTTGAGCATTGAAAGAACTTAGCCTAACAACAAATGACTTAAGTGAACTCAAATATAAATATTGCTAGAACTTGAAACTTGTACTTTGGACATGAATTGAATATTTGAACAAAAGCAAATACTTTAGTTGGGCTACAAAGAACTTGAACTCATGCAAAAAAACTTATACTTGAGATTGTAGTTTGGGACAACTACAAGGATCACTTGAACTCAAATCAGAAAACAACAGAAGACTTGTGGACATGCACTTGAACTTAAGTCGAACCATAGCACAAGGAATTCAAATGAATCATAAGAGATTTGAACTTGAATGAACAACCCATATAGAACCAATCTCTTGACAATGAAGAGTTGGACCCAAGCATGAAGGAGCTTGATATCATGCTCAAAGTGAAGTTATAGCAATTCCTAAATAAATGCAAGAGGTACACACCGGATATAATGGTAGAGCCTCATGGACAACAACAATTCACATTCAATGAATGTAGCACCTTACAAACCAATACAAGAAAGAAGTGGAAAGGATATCATCCATGCTCTTGATAATAATGAGTTGTTACTTTAATTTGAGGATGAGCAGATATGGTTATAGTAAGTGGTGCAAGTATTGACAATGTATGACGAGCACAATCCATCCAACATGTTAATACACAAAGCAAATATGTTAATTCTACCTACAGACGACGAAACTAGTGATACTTCATAGATGGTGAATCATTTATGAATAATACACATGGATATAATGATTTTTCGACAAGAGATACGTGATGAATGTGATGACTTGCTAACCATCATACGTAATATAGTAGGTCTACAAGTATAGAAAGAGGAATTTTAAGGATATAACTTCCTTCCAACCAATGCTGGCCAGTTTATAAATAAATACACAACGTTCTATCTACAAGAAATCATGTTTGATGTAGTCCTTTGGGAAGATAACAGCTACTGAAATGCTATGAATACAAAGGAGCATTAGTAAAGCACATGAGAAATGATGATAAATGAAAGCGCCTACAAGTTATGTAGCAAGAGCTGATAAATGTTGTAATGCTCTTGTAGTCAACCATCATTCAACATCAAGTAAATGTATTGGACTTCAATAAGCAAGAAACGAAGATCTGCAACATACATCAGCTCTCTACAAAGACATATGTACATGCTACTTATGGGTAGATGCATAAAGACTACAGTAAATGTAGTATACTGTAGTCAACTTCAGTCTAAGGATGAATACATCTACCTCCAGCCGTAGTGGATGTATTGCAAAGACCAAAATCACAGCGAAATGCTTAAAGAATACAAGTTCCTATGAGTTTCTACAATCCAAAGCAGGAGATTCATTAGTGCATATCAATCCGCCTGTTGAAAGCAACAAATAATACATGACAGTCTACCTGTATAAAGCAGCGAACCACTAAATTCAGAAGCTGCTACGCCACGCCACCGGATATGCAACCTCCATACAAGCAGACAGAAGGCGTCTACAAATACTTTAAAAATACCCTCGCACGTGCATTATAGTTTGTATACACATAGGTACACTAAAAGAGGTAAAAGCAATCATGAAACCCACATGGGCCCCGACGAGTGTGTTATTGATACACACATAACGTCTAGGGATGCTGCATGGGTTATTAAATTTTAAACCCGATCATCCTTAGCAGGTAAAAAGGAATCGACAGGGTTTAATTATAAAATGCCCCCAAACCCGTATGGGCCACGACGAGCATGTCATTGGTACACACGTGACGTCTAGGGATGCTGCGCGGGTTGACAAGTGAATTCAAGTTTGAAACCGATCCTTCTCTACAGGTCAATAAAAGTCGACATGGTTCGAAACAACAAACAAATATACGGTTATGGCGACCGTCATATTTGTCTTAATACATTCATATTAGGCGTTCAAGGCCTATAATAATGAGAATTCACTATTAAGCGCATAAAGCCTACGAAACTCGATCCTCGATCAATAGCTTGATCGAGTTGACAGAGTTCAATCAACAAAAGAGAAATTACCCTAAACACCCTGATGATGGCCGTGTTGAATACATATCTCAACCGGAGGGGTTCCCAATTATTTTCAAATGTCTCCCAAATACCCAAAAGTCCATTTCAAATATTCCAAAGTTCCACCCAAAATCCCAGAAAATTCCAAAAATCTCAAAATCCCAAAATCTCAAAAATATTTAAAATTGAAATAAACTATCAATCGTTTAAAGTAAAATCCATCCACCATCTGCAACAGTTTGCTAGGGTGGATAAATCAAAAACTACTTCAGCTCACAAAGAGCCAAATGCCTAGTCGAAAATATCACTAGGATCCATTCTCAAACCAATCTCCTGCCAGTAAGGATGTGGTATGTGTCCTCTAACCGGCAGTTTTGCCGTGAAATGGCACTGTAGGTAAACGGTTATGACCCGGGGCCCTCTGAACCGAGTGGTTTTGCCGCCAAATGGCACCGCGAAATACCGGTTATAGCCAGCGTCGTTACGTTCCTAATTGGCATCAAATCCTTGAGATATGAATCAATAGGATATGATCGATATGGCACAAAGCCCTCTGTTAGCTAAGGTGGATTCAAATTTGTCCACTTAGACAAACATTCACCCTAGATCTACAAGGTCCCCTTGGACGAAGCAACTCATGGCTGCCCACAAGGATCCTTCTGTCACGTTGGGTTGACTACCTCCTCTGACTAAGTAGACTAGGGACCATGATGGCCCGGGATGACGGAACCATGAGATCTTGATCGGGTCTATCATCCATTCCCCCACCATCCGCTTTAAGTGCAAGATGGTGCAATTTCTATTTTAAATATTAAACCCTCCAAAACCATCAAATATCCCAATCCAAATATTCAAAATTCCAAATCCAAATCTATGTTGCTACTATATGCCAGATACCACGTATTTTCTACGTATCTGATTGACGACTAGCCTTAATCGAAAGTTCTCTCATGATTGAGAGGGGTAATTAACTATAGGGGCTTGCGCCTATAGGAAACCAAAACTCATATCATAAAGTCCTCACCAAATGAGGGCAAAATCTCTAGGTAGTGTCTTATCTACAAACCCATCTTCCTTCCAAAATTTACTCCGGAACTTATCAGTTAAAACTCCCTCGCCGAATGAAAAGAAAAAGCGGGCGGAGGCCGGAGCCGAATTTTTGGATTCCACATTTGGATACAAATCCAAATTCTTATGTGTGGTTGTTGCTGCATTGCTAGGCTTTCCCTTTTTGTGAGCGTATTTGTCTATACTGTAAAAACACTGGAATTCTAGAAAAGAAGAAAGAGAGCCCATGTCTTCAAGATCAATGAATTTGCCTAAATTAACTAACAAGAGTCAAATTTTCTGTGTGTTTGGCGATCATGATCTGTCTAAAGGCTTTGGAATTTTTAAGTGCTATCGTGTACTCATTACAGTTTCTTATGACAATTAGTTAGTTCTAACTTCCTTTTCAAAGCATCAAC